AGCTTCCATTCCCATCTCATTCATTGACTTGAGCATAAAAGAGGTGTTATCATGCAATTGCAGGATTCTTCTTCTCTCACCTGAACAACTGCAGCACCAATCTGAGACTTAAGATGTCCAATAATGTCAAGGAACCTTCTTCTTATGCTCGGAATCTTTTAGAATTTTGCTCATACAGAGCACTAGGTGTACTGACTCAATGTCCAGATCACTCGAGTGATAAGGATTTCAGGTGCTTGACATTTGATATGATGCTTGCTTGGGAAGACCCTGGTATTGGCAGTGAATCTTTAATCAAAGTGAGATAAACAATTGTTGTCGCAATGAATACTCATCAGCTTGTACAAGTTGCACTTCTTTGTATTTCACTCCCTTTCTTCTTATTAATGAAATAATCTTGGTACTGCTACTACTGATGGCCTCATTTTAAGGGTTCTCTTAGAAATGTATATGGTAGCACACAGAGGTTATGCCTAGTACATTGTACATTGTAGTTTATCTAGAATGTTCTAGAAAATCTATGCCTTGAAATTGGACTGTAGTGAATTCACTTGTTCATTTATAGCTGTTCCTTGGCTGGGGAGTTTGCTGTAGCCATTGGCATATCTCAAGTATTACAGAGGCTTTTTTGTGTTTATTTAGAAAGACGCTAGTTGTGGGTCCAATTTAAGTTTTGCAAGGGAATTTATCAAATGCAAAGCCAAAAAGTATAGCAGTTCAGTTATAGGCATGATATGTTAGGGCTGTGTACATGATTTCTAGTGATGAATATCTGTTTGTGCACTATAGAGCAATTAAATAAGCAAAGAGCTTATCAGGGTCTCCATTTGCTTCGAGCCTTCCACTTGAAGAGGGAGAAATCATCGTAGATGTTGATGCCAATGTTCCTATTCAATCAGTACTTCAACACGTAGGAATATCTGCATGGCCTGGTGAGCATTCTTTAATGTGAGACCCTTCTATTCTGAAATACCACACTTCACTTGGTCAGATTGCTTTTTGCCTCCCTGATGTTATGTTCTAAGGCAATAGCTTTTCTTTCTGCTTATCTGTTGGATAACGTAAGAAGCTCTATTTGTGGCATGGCGCTTAACATTGACTAATCACCCATTATACTTTTGAGTCATTGGGAGTAGGCTTCTATGATAAACCTGTTAAATATGATTTATCAGAAAGACTTGAAACAAGTGATAAAGCCGGATTTGACTGGACCATTGGGTGCACGGCTCTTTGATAAGGCTGTGATATATAAGTCAACATCTGTGTATGTTTGTACTTTTTATTATACATATGGTTTTTCCTCTCTATCGTACATTTTAAAAAATGGGTCTCTCCACTTTGTCAATGCATGGGGATCTTGAAACAATCTCTAACAAAAACATTCTACAGAACAGAGCCTGTTTTGATGGAATTCCCTGAATTTAAAGGTCATTCACGATGTGACTACTGGTTGGAAATTATTTGAGAGGTATTGCATGTGAATAGATTTATAAGGAAGTTCCATCTTGAAGATATTCCACATGCAGAGGCACTCTCCAAGGCAATATTAGTCATTTTTTGCTTTCGTGCAGTGAAGGAAGCTTTCCATATCTGGCCATCCCGTTTCAAAACACCTCTTACTGTTTCAACTTAGCTGAAAAACTTCCACGAGGGGATAAAATTTTGGAAGCCCTATCAAATCACCTGGAGCTGCTTAGTACTGGAAGATCTGATGATAAGAAGGAAACATTAGAGAATGCCACAAAGCATTCTTCTGGTTCGTATAAGGCATCATCTTTGTCAACACTAGCAAAACATGGCTTTGCATTAATTAAGGAGATGGACACTCTTGAAAAGGCATCATTTTTGGATGGAAACATCATGGTTGGTGAGACTGATACTCTTGAATAGGCAGTGAGAAAGTCAAAATATGATTTAGGAAGAGCTCAGGCAGCACACGAAACTGTAAACCAAGTGCAAGTGGAGGGGATCGATACTAATTTGGCCGTAATGATGGTATGTAGTGGTATGTTCACCAGTTGCTTTTGTAATTTCAGTTTATCCCCTGTAATATAGCTGAATCAGAAAGTGATTCAGCTGGTTAGGCAAGTGGGATTTTTCTTTGTTTATTTGTGTGCATTTTTGGGGATTTCTTAATTTAAACAAGAAAAGTAGACAAAGAGTCAGCTAGTCTGGTAGGCAAAACGCAAAATACAAGAATGTAGGATGGGCTTTTTTTGGTTAGTCTAGCCGGGGAAAGGACATTACCCTTCCAGTTCAACACTTTGGCATGCCATGACTAAATTGGGTTATGGTTCCGTTGAATCTGGTTGCACCTGCCAAATTGGCTATTTTTTACTAATGCCTGCATGATTGTATGTCAAATTGGCAAATGGTAAATCTATTTAGGTAAATTTGAATACTAAAAGAACACCAACAATTGTGACTGTTTTCTGAGGATGATGTAAGGTGCATCTTCCCCATCTTAGGCAATTTTTTAGCTTGTCTGCATACAAATATTTTTCTGACAAAACTATGCTTCTTGCAATTTTTCCCTAATCATTTCTTGTACATTTTTTTCATTGGTATTTGATTGGGAATATTTAGTAGGTAATCTAATTCGAAAGTGAAACTCTTCCTTTAAGAAATACTTTATCTTTATCTGAACTTAAAGAGTAAATATTTTGGATGTAAATGGTGATTCTCTCATATTTTTGGATTATTAACTTTATTTCAAACCAAATACGTGATCCCCAATTTTAAGGATTTTGTTTTTGGAAAAAGAATTATGCTTTTTTAGCCCTTTGAGATGTAATCATAGTTTTGTAAACCTCTTGCTAGTAAGTTTTTTATGCACTCATCTATACCACCGCTGGATGATGTCAACACATTGACTCTCTCTCTCTCTCTCCTTCCTCTCTCTCTCTCCCTCTGTCTCTCTCATGCAAGGGTTTATGCATGCGTCCTTATGCATACTAAGACTTATACAATACGCACGCCGAATGCTGACATTGAATGTATCGAAATCCTTGGATTTGTTATCTATTTTGCTAAAACATTTGCAATTTCGTTTGATTCTTGGGTCCCAGAATCAGAATTATGCATAATGATTCGAAGAATGATTCCTCTCTATTTCTATATTTTGGCAATTCTCTCACTACTTGAAAGTAGGTATTTCTATAGGTTATAACATGGCACATGGAACACAAAGACTTGCACTTTGACCCATATCTCTGGCTTACGGGGGATGGATAAAGTACTTCATGCCTTGCATTTTCATTATCCTTGCTTGTCTAATACTCTGGCATAAGCATTGGAACAAAAGGAAGCAATTGGAAGTTTTCAAGGTTACACCTCCTCCTGCTCGGAACCCTGTAGAACAGCCTCTATTGTTGCAGGAGACCATCTCTCAATTTGAAACTCTTGTCCAAGAAGGGAACATCGTGCTCCTCAAATTAAGAGTTCTCTTGTTCGCACTTCTTCCAAGGGTATGGACCTCGCCTGTTCTTCATAATCTCTCCCCTTTATATTTTCTTCTGTGTGAATGAGCTGTTCCTTGGTTATTTTTTAAGGAATACTTGACACTTATTCTTTTTGATCTCTCTGTTATTGATTCATGATTTTTTTTCAGCTGGCTTTCATCGTATTCTAAAGATACAGCTATTCTTGACCTGAATTTGAAAGTGGAACAAAAAGATCTCTCTCTCTCTCTCCATTGGCTGATACAGCTATTCTCCACTTGAATTTGAAAGTGGAACAAAAAGATCTCTTTCTCTCTCTCCATTGGCTGCTACCATGGGTAATAAAAATGTGTTTCTTATGCTCACTGGTAAATGCGCACTGGGTTGAGGAAATAATCAATTATCATTTAGAGTTATCTTCATGGATAAAAATGTGTATCTTATGCTCACTGGTGAATGCGCACTGGGTTGAGGAAATAGTCAATTATCATTTAGAGATACCGTCATGGTTTTATGCGGAAGTTGAAGAATCACATAGCAATATACATTACAATGAATAATGTATCATTTGTTTGTTTGTAAGTGCTGAACTCTACAGCTACGTAACTTGCCCATTATGAATGATATTGATGATGACTTTGTCATGTGAGGCATAATTTATTGTTTAATTGTAGGCTGCTCTTGTGTTGATCATCCTGACGATAGTGTTTGTGTTGGTGCCCCTGAATTCCATCATTATGCTGGTATTTCTTGAGGTTTATACAAGAGAAATGCCTCTGAGGAAGGCAAGCAATGAGAAGCTGATCCGAAGATTGAAGGAATGGTGGGTTAGAATACCTGCTGCACCTGTTCAGCTTATTAAGCCTGAGGATGACAAGAAAAAGAAGTAACAAATCCTTCACAAGTGATCCTACAAATCTTTCTCTCACTCAGGTGTGTGTATGCATATCTTATTTTTTACCATCATTCCTTCTTGTATATCAGGTGTGTATGCATATCTTATTTTTTACCATCATTCCTTCTTGTATATCAGGTGTGTATGCATATCTTATTTTTTACCATCATTCCTTCTTGTATATCATTGAGTTATTGCAGCTAGTATTAGGTGATCAGATTTTGGCAGTTATATCAGAATTCTAAATCCTACCCAGAAAGCAGCTTAACTGAGATCTCTGAGTTTTATATACAGAGCGCACGAGGACATCTCATAAATAATAATCCAAAAGTAGCAGAACCCCCATGCTGCATATACCTGAAATTTTTTAATTTTTCATGCAAGTGATAAAAGTTGTGTTTTTCAAAATTTTATTTTGCTAATTTTAACTAATAGTTTATAATTATCTTTTATAGAAAAAAGATGGCACGGAGCACTATTTATTTCCGAAATTTCTGGAATTTAAGATTTATCATTTAATGAGAGAAAATTCATGGTTATCTTGGTCATTCTCCTTCCATTATCTTCACAAGTCTTGCAAAAAACCAGATTATGAGGAAGAAAGCTTTTTGTTGTCAAAATTAGTTATATTTAGTTGCCTTATTGTTGATACTGAGACAATTAGATATGTCTAACTATTATACATAAAGGATAGTCAATGCTCATCTTTTATTTGAACTGTGGGTGAAAAAGAGAATGTTTTCTCACATCCTCACCTTTGTTACTTGTACCCCTTTAGTTAACCATATGCGTTTGGGGACTAGTAAATAGTAAAATGTTAAGATTCTAAATAAAAAAATTACAGTTAGTCAAGGGGAGACTGTTACTTAAAATGATCCAGCCTCTCTCTCTCTCTACCATGTAGATCTCTAGGTTAGCAAAGATTATATGCTCTCGGGAGCATATCTTATATGTTCTAATAGTTCTCTAAATCTAAGAGTGTTTTTAGGACCTCAATTTTGAGCATGTAGATCTCTAGGTTAGCAAAGATTATATGCTCTCCGGAGCCTATCTTATATGTTCTAATAGTTCTCTAAATCTAAGAGCGTTTTTAGGATCTAAATTTTGAGCCTTTCTAAGGCCCCAGGCTTGCGGATAGCCTCACGAGCCTCAGAAAAGGAAAAGAAACTCTCATTTTAGATTTGCATAACAAATATAGTTTATTAGTAGAGACCATCCAATTTTTGAATGTACAAATAAATTGAGCTAAATGGCACAAGGGATTGTGTGCAAAGATACCATTTATCTTTTGTATATGAAGATCACAATCATTATTGTCCCTTAAATTTTGAAATGAGTTTTTGTAAGAGTGTCATTGAATAGACACAAAGTTTCAAAAAAACTTCTCGAACTTCGTGACTCACCCCAGGCCATCTAATTTAAGGGAAATGTTT